ATTATATTTTATAATATACATTTGATTATATTTTATATATTTGATTAAAGTATCTTCTTTTTTATTATTACAGTACTTTTAGAATTATTTTTTATAATTAAATATTCAAAGTTTATTAAATATTTAAACATGCTGATCATTAAGAGTCAAAGTATATTTATTATTTTATTTAATAATTTATTATATTTTATTTAAATGCTAAATGCATATATATACACTCACCGGCCACTTTATTAGGTACACCTTGCTAGTACGGGTTCGTACAGGTGCTTGAAATCCTTGAAATTGCAATTGCATTGGTTTTCTAATAATTTGCTTTATTACTGAATAACGTTAGTTTACTTTTTAGACAAAATGCCTTTTGCATAAAACGAAAACAGCTCTGCTCGATTCTGCGCGTGTGGCTTTAGTGTGATCCGCCAGTCTTTATTATATAAACACATATATAACCTCCCGATAAACACATGTCAGGAGGTTGTTGCTTCAGTCAGCGTTGGCTTGAAAACGACAAATACAAATTCATGGTTCAAATAATGTAAAGTCTCCTGTAAAGTCAGATTTTTTTTCATGGGAGAGTCTGCGCTTTCAGGCCGTGTAAAAGGTAAGCAAAAATGCCCCTCCTCAGTTAAACTAAATATGTTAAGACTGTTGCGATTAAAGTGAAATAATAAAATAAATATTTCAAAGTCAAAATGCAGCACGGGTGTTTTCATATTAATGCATCTCTGAAGTGAACCGACTGCCTTCAGAGAAGTTTCAATGGCATTTCCGTTTCATCTGACCGACGTATAATGTCTGATTAAGTAGCGTTTGTGAGCACAGCTGCTTTGTTTAGCGACAGCCGTTACCGGGGAAACCGCTGTATTTCTGCAGTTCCAAAAGCGCCACCTGCTGGCAGACAGAACCTCACGTTTTAGCCTTTAAAATATTTTTAAGAAATAAAGGAAAGGGATGAGTCTAAAGTGTAAAGAATTATTTTAATTTAAAGCACACAGACATATTACTTTTTTTAGATTTTTGAAGAAACATTAGCTTTTTGTTCTGAACAAAAACAGCAGATGGACTTATTAAAAAATGCAAATTCATCTTCTGCCACCAGAGCCGCTGAAAAACAAAATAATTCTTTATACTTTTGACTCATCCCTTTTCTTTATTTCTTAAAAATATTTTAAAGGCTGAAATGTGAGTAACAGAAACACGTTGCAAATACTCACAACACAGACAAATACAAATCCGCTGCAAAAATAGAAACGCGCTGCAAATACGCACAGACCACCTGACTGGGACATGCTTATCAATGTCTACTCAAAAATGTGAGATTTTGTATGATTCCTTAGCTTTTTTATTTGTTTTGTTTGTTTTGTTTTTGAGCCTAAGTAAGCTGACGAAATACACAATCACTGTAACTGAGAAACGTTATGTAAGCTGGCTCCTTTTACAACTTCCTTTACAAAAATGAACCATGCTTTTACTATTAAAATAAATAAAGAGGAAAAATAAATAGCCTATATATATACAAATTGTATTTTTTTTTTTTTTATAAAAATAGTATAGTTAATAGTATTAATGCAAAGTTAATGCTATAGTTAAATCATGGCAAATTAAAA